CACGGAGTGCAGATCTTTATACACTTTATTAAAACAATGCTGTGACTTACAATCACATTTCTGAAGATAACTACAGGTACATCTGAAATCTATACAGTTCTCCGGAATCGGTGTGCATGGGCTGCGGGTGCATGGGCTGCGGACGTCAAAATCCCAGGTCCAGAGCCAGCTGGAAGGTGGAACAGGACCGGAACACCACTTTGATATGCAGTGGAATGCACGTGGAACGCATCATTCAATGTGACCGCGTCACCGGAAGTGATACAACGTTTTGTAGCATGCTCGTCAACTATGGGGGCGCGCTCCTTCGTCAACCTCTGCTCTGTTTTAATAAAGTGTATAATGGTCTGCACTCAGTGGCACCTTCTCTACCTTTCTAGAGGTTGGCATTACAGTGTACTGTATATTGTTGTTAGCCGGTCAGTAGACATGTGCAAAAACCTCCATGCCCCCACCGTCACTGGCTTCTGTGATGCTGTAGGCTGAATAGCTTCATTGCTTGCTAGGTCATCAGCATTCTAACAACCAATGACAATGGGCTAAACACTATCAGTGAGTGGAGACTGATTATGATGCTGAAAGACTAGTTGCCCATTGGGTCCACTTTCTTTGTGACTGACAGAGAATAGCTGCAAGCAGATTTCATAGTGGCTACTGGTCTATAGAATCTGCCCATTGCCAACCACTGTCAACCACAAGGAAGTCAGACCTGATGAATACCCATCAGGCTTTGCCTATCCAGTAGAAGAACTCTTTTCCATTGGTAATCACAAGCGAGGCAGACCTAATGGAATTAGTCACTTAGAATCCCACAACCAGGCTCCAATCACCCAACAGTCAGTCCTTATAAATCCCAGGGGCTTGCCTTGTCACTAGGCAGGATATGAAGATTCAATAAACATTTACACATTCCATTTACTTACATTTACACATAAAAGCAGTAAATGTGCTTTATAACAAGCCCTCACTGACCTCTGATGGAGCAGGTAACTGTGGAGCAATGTATCCTAAAATTCATGCTAAAGACCTTAACCCCTTCCTGCCCAGTGTCATTAGTACAGTGTCAGTGCTTTTTATTAGCACTGATCACTGTATTGGTGTCACTGAGGATGTCAGTGACAGTCAGTTTACCGAAGTGTCAGAATGCCCGCCGCAGTCCCTCTATAAGTCGCTGATCGCTGCCATTAATAGTATTAAAAAAAAAAAAATTCCAGTATCTATACTATCATTTATAAACGCTATAACTCTCACGTAAACCAATTTATTTACACATAATGGGCTTTTTTCTTAGCAAAGACGTAGCAGAATACATTTTGGCCTAAACTTATGACGAAATTAAATTTTTGAATTTTTTTTTTTCTGGACATGTTTAATAGCAAAAGAAAAAAATATTGTTTTTTTTCTCAAAATTGTCAGTCTTTTTATAGGTTAGAGGCGTTTATTATACCACCAAAAGAAAGCTCTATTTATGGGAAAAAAGGACATAAATTTAATTTGGGTGCAGTGATGCATGAGTGGCAATTGTCAAGTAAAGTATAGCAAAAAATGGCCTGGCCTGGTCAGGAAGAGGGGTAAATCCTCTGGAGGGCAAGTGGTTATAGAATAGTTTACCGCAACATTTTGCATTCCTGATATGTGTCTGTTGTATTTTGCTGTCCATGCATTTGTGTTAAAAAGTATTCTGTTCTCTTTATATTGCTTCCTTTATGTGAAATACTTGGTGTTCCTGACAGCATCCTGCTTTTTTATTTCAAACTGATCACGCGTGGTAGCATATCCATCCCAGTGTCGTCAATTTTCAGGCTGTGCTGGGAGAATAGCCTGCCTGTCCTCTGATGGTCAGACTTGTTCTGACAGACCCCCTTGGAGTGCCATTCACAGGGAAGATCATGTACTGCTCATTCTTCACCCCCACTTCTCTACGTCCCTTATGTAGCTGAGAACAGAGATTATTTGATCACTTATAAAAAAAGAAAACAAAAAGGTATTTCTAACATTGTTTTGACATGTGAAGAATGAAAAATATTTGCTACATTTCATTTCGGTTCGATTCGTTAAGCTACTAATTTTATTTAGTTGCATTCATAACAAAGTTTAGTTCCCCGGTTCACTTCATTTATTCATTTTGACCAGACTTTTGGAAGACAGCTATATTTTTTTTATTCTATTCTATTTAAGTTTTATTCTATTCTTTTCTGTTCTATTCTATTCTATTCTAATATTTTCTATTGCTTAATTTTCTATTATATATTCTTTTATTTTCTATTCAATTATGTTTTATTCTATGCTATTATATTCCATTCTGTTTTATTCTATTCTTTTTTGAAAATGCGAATTTCAGAAGATAGCTATAGTTTTCTATATTGTTCTATTCTTCTCTATTTTAATCTGTTTTATTTTTTTCATTCTATTCTTTTCTATTCAATTATTTTCTATTCATTTCTGTTCTAATATTTTCAATTCTATTCTATTATCTTTTATTATATTCTATTTCATTCTATTCTTTTTGAAAATCGAATTTCAGAAGATAGCTGTATTTTTTCAATTTTTTTCTATTCTATACTTTTCTATTTTATTTTATTTCATTTTTTATTCTATTCTATTTTAGTCTTTTATTATCTATTTTATTATTTTATTTTCTATTCTATTCTGTTTTATTCTATTTTTTTCTATTCTATTCTAGTCTATTCTATTCAAACTTGAGAAGACAGTTGGCTATATTCTTTCTACGATTTTATTCTATTTGAATTCTGAAATTTGAATGTTCATATTTGAATTTTGGAAGATGGCTATATTCTGTTCTATTCTATTTTTTCTATTCTCTTCTATTGCTTTCTATGCAATTCCTTTTTCTATTCTTTTATTTTCTATTTTATTCTATTCTATCCTGTTTTATTCTATTCTTTTAGAAATTAGAATTTCAGAATATGGCTATATTAACACTAATACACACAGTCTTTGAAGGAGATCAGCAATATGTAAAAAAGAAGGGTAGTATTATGGCGCTAGGTGAGCTAGGGTGGATTGGGGATATAAATAATAAGGTGGGAATGGGTAAAAAGTCTCTAAAAATGTTCCATAGTAAAATCCATCATAGTCAATGAGAATCACTTAGACATGGCTGCATTTTCAATTTAAAAGGATTGGATAACACTCTTTGATCTGTTTAAGGAAAAAAACATGGGAAGAGCCATCACCTAAGTGTAGATTATAGGTGTAAAACAAGCGAGAATTAAAAATATCACTCACATTTAGAACTAGTGCTACAGGGCAGCACGGATGCACAAAATCACATATAAATACATGATTTGTATTTCCGGGTAGAGAGCACCCATGTGCATGCTGCCCTATCTGCGCCGTCATTGGCAGCTACAGATGTCAATTATTGGGTCCCAGGTGGAGATTCCCGCCTACACCGGCGATCACCGAGTAACACTGACAGAGGAGAGATCTGTCTGCAAACAACACAGGTCTCTCACCTGCCAGCAAGAACATGCTGCTGTGTATTTATCTGCATAGCAGAGAGATAAAAAACAGCATGTCTCCCTAGTAAAACACACACAGCACATGTTGTAAAACACACGCAGTACACAGTTAACTCTTTGATTGCCCCAGAGGTTAACCCCTTCTGCCCAGTGTCATTAGTACAGTGTCAGAGCTTTTTATTTGCACTGATCACTGAATTAGTGTCATTGGGATGTCAGTGGCAGTTAGTCAGTTCCCACCCGATATCAGAATGCCCAGCGCAGTCCCGCTATAAGTCGCTGATCACCGCCATTACTTGCATAAAAAAAATAAAATTCCAGTATATATACCAGCATTTGTAGATGCTATAACCTTCATGTAAACCAATTAATTTACACGTATTGGGATTTTTTTTTCAGCAAAGATATGTAGCAGAATACATTTTGACCTAAATTTATGACACATTTGATTTTTTTCAATTATTTTACTAGATATGTTTTATAGCAAAAAGTCAAAAATATTTTTTTTTCAAAATTTTCAGACTTTTTTGTTTATAGTGCAAAAAATAAAAAACACAGAGGTGATAAAATACAACCAAAAGAAAGCTCTATTTGTGGGGAAAAAAAGGACATACATTTTATTTATGTACAGCATTGCATGACCATGCAATTGTCAGTTAAACTAACGCAGCACCGTATCACAAAAAACGGCCTGGTCAGGAAGGGGGGTAAATCCTCTGGGGGGGGCAAGTGGTTAAAAGGATCAAGGAATTGATTCTTTTAATAAATGTGAGTGCTATTTTTAATTCTAGCTTGTTTTTCACCTATACTCTGCACTTAGATTGTGTTTTCCAAGGTTTTTTCCGTATACATAGTCAGCAATATGCTTAAATTTGGAATCTGGTTTCAAATTCAAATTTGTATTTGAATTTGTATCAGATTTGATTCAAATTAAATTCAAATTCAATTTGAATTAAGATAATTCCTTATTTCAGATGAAATTTTGTTTTGTTATATCGGATTCATTTAAATTCTTTACAAATTGTAATTTGGAAATTCGGATACATCTGAATCTCCAAATAATGAAAATTTTGTCCGAATTTCAATTCAGAATGAAACGAAGCACACATGTCTGTTGCCTTTAATTTCTGTTTTAAACTGAATGGGTTGTTCTACAAGGTAAGGGTTCACATATACATTATGTTGTTTAAGTTGTTCCCTCAGCAGCTCAGATCGCCCTGATTTCCCCTCCTAGAGCACCTGCTCAGTGTTTATATTAGATATTAGAAAGCTGAAGAATATCATGCACTTCTGGGAAGGGGAAGAAGGGTGAGCTGAGAAGAGCAAAAAACACATTTAATTATTAAAATTGAAATAAATTGGGCACAAGTTTTAAAGGTTTCCTTTAAATTAGACTTTTTGTACTTTAAACATGAAGAAATGTTTGATATTCAAAGTTAAAAATAACTGTTGTGTGCGCTATACAAAATCTAAATAAGCACTAGGTCATGATAAAGGGAACTGTCAAACACTTACCTATCATGCCAGTTTGAAAAGTTTTTGAGAAACGAGTTAAATTATTAAAGAACCAAATCCTAATTTTTGGTATTTCATCATTATTTTCTTTGGGGAAGACATCTTTCATGTGGCATCCAATATTTCTCCCATGGCTTTTCAAATATTGTTTGCAAGCTAGTGTTTTATCATATAGTCTAAAATAGGAAATTCAAAATTAGATTCCATTATTAATGAATGATTGAAAAAAAAAATTAACCTGAACTTTACGTACCTTAATGCAAATGAATATCTTGCATCAGAGGGAGAATCATTTCTCCATTCCCACGTACAGTTTAGATTGGTTACATTATATATTGCACATGATACATTGCTGATGTACACTGAAAAAAAAGTGCAACCAGAAGCTGTGAAGGACTGCAGGAAGATGATATTTTCATGCACACAGATTGGTCATATGACATGCTGCTCTTGGAGCGAGGACTATATTTAGAGATCACAAATGATGAGGCCCTTTTATTTGCCACCCCATGCAGCTATCATGCAAACATTTCTAGTTATGATGCATTATTTGTGGCAGCATGTTGACTGCTTTACATTCACAGTGATTTTCTTTTAACTGCACTGATAAACAAACCAAGGAAAGAAATTATTTAATGGTTCTTGATCTTTAAACATTTGACTTCCCTCAATATTCTCTGTCTATACTCTCCCCTATAATTCCTTGCTGAAAGGATTGCCACTAACAAGAATAAAAAAAGTTTAGCAAAAAATAAAAAAATGAAAAAAAAATTTAAATCTGTAAAAAAATTTCAGTCACAATCAAGCACTTAAAATACCCCCTGAAACATTTTTGAACCCACCCCCATACACAGGCAGATATGCATATGTTGGGAGTGTCTTCCCACGAAAATGCTGATTGTGATACACATGATACATATCGCTTTACACACTGGAGTGAGAGCAATAAAGCTAGGCCCATTATTAACGGTTATCTTTAAACAAATTATCTGTATAGTCTTTTAAAGCATCGCCTATGGAAAATACAAGATACAAAAGTTTGTTGTCATTTCAGGGGTGCACATAATTTTAAGGCTTGACATGTTGGGTATCTATTTACTCAGCACAACTCTTTTAACTCTTTTATATTTTATAAAAAATACAATATTGCTTTTAAGTGCCATAAAATTGACTGAAGTGTATTTTTTTGAAATTTTGCATGAAGCACCATTTCGCCAATACTCACATAGTACAGGTAGCCAGATACCATGTGATTGCTATGGGCCAATAACATCACAACTGTAAGCAAGTTGTTCATTAATGGAAATCCATTCATGACAGTTTGTTTGCATTGTTATCAAGTGACTGCTATGACCAATCATAGTGATCACATGATACCCAATACCCGTTCACCGCTAACTGTAATCTGCTCTGTCTGGTGGACACAGCAATCACAGGAATGGCACTGCTTACTCCTAACCCAGAACAGGCTGGATGACATACTGTACATATATGTGATCCAGCCTGCCCATGCCACCCTGCCACAGTAAATGTTCTGTGGCCGGGTGATAACCAGTTTCATATTCGATAAAAATGAAATGTGGTGGCCATCTTTAAGGAAACCATGGGGGCATCCACTTTGGAGGTGTCTGGTTGTATCTAAAAATAAAGAAGAAGGAGTGGTACATGAAAAAGGAGCGAGGATACACATGGTGAGAGGGTGCAGGAGTGTGCAGGGGACTGACTGCCTATCTGTAAGGTACCCCACCATTGAAGATCGCCCCCTTCCTTTCTGCATTTGAAGGCAGTAATTTGGTGTGCCCAGGACCCTGTTGTGAGTGGCTGTCACCCTAAGACACAGGAAGCCAAGGGCAAAAACAGTTTTGAAATGCTAAATGAACAGGGCTCCAGGTAGCCTCCTACTCCACTTCTACTATCGCAGATGCTGGCCCTGTCCATCACAGTTTCCATGGTACAAAAAAGAAGATCTGGTTGGCCGCACATCCAATAATATCACCTTTGTTATTAAAATCTGATAAAAACATATCCAAATACATGGTAGAGAAAACAGCAGATCCAGCTAACGCATTTTACACCACGTTCAGCACTTAATCATAGCATACAGCATTGAACTGCATTGCTGTTTTTGCTACCATGTATTTGGATATGCTTTTATGAGCGTTCAACAATAAATATGATATTATTGGACATGAGGCCAACCAGATCTTTTGTGCACATTGAGAGCTTTGACTTGGAAATTGTGAGTCTGCTCCTTGGGAGGGTGTGATGGATTCAGTGATGCCAATGCATAGAAATTCTGGGAGTGAGTGCAAGACTGGTAAAAGCTCAAACTTCAGCAAGCTGACTTTCCTTCCTTTTGAGGCTGTGTTATTTCTTAAAGGGCCCCACTGCTGCAGGCCAAAGTGCTTATCTTACCTACCACTATTCAGTGGGGCAGAGACTGTTTAATGACTATAATTAGCTTTTTTTTTCCTCTTGGTACTAAGCATAGACTACCCCAGGGGCGGACTAACAACTCATGGGGCCCCCGGGCAATAGGGAAACATGGGGCCCCTGTGTCCTTGCCCAAACTCAAAATAGCCTATGAAAAAGGTACCACGGGCATCTCATGGGGCCCCCTAATGACCCCGAGCAGTGCCCAAGTTTCCAAATGGTCAGTCCGCCCCTGGACCACCCATACAATTGCATATTGCTAGTAAAGAGCATTGATAGTGCTTAGTTAGTATTCCCTCCATACAAAATATATTGTTTTGTTGCTTGTGTACTCTTTCAATGCTAACTGTCTTTTCTCAGATTGTTGCTGTTGAAATAAATTGTTAAAACACACAAGGTGAGTCTGTCAATGTTGGGTGAGAGGAGTGTGTCATCTCCAAATACACAGAAATTAAAAGGAAAAAAGCCTAAAAAAGAAAACTATACAGCCACCACATCTAGGAAATTTAAAACATTTTCATTTTTGTCTTTCATACAACTTTAAGCAATCTTAACATGGTATTTGATCTAAATACAAGAGAATTGCAGATAGTAGAGACTGCAGATAGGAGTGTTGTGTCATCATCCTGATATCGGCTTGAGTTTAAAAAATGTAGATTGCAGTGAAAGCGATTATAGGAATGTGTTTTTTTAGTAAACAATTAAATACATATAGAATGATTTAAATTGAGGTTATTGCAGTTGTTTGTAGTTTTTTTTTTTATATTATTTAAAGGTGTGCTACAGAATACAATAGAACATAGAATTCAAATATCAGGTAAAGTAGGCATGTACAAAACAAGTACAAAAGGCGGTCTATTAAGGAAGCAACCATACACAAATAAAATGAACAACACCATGACTGAAGTGTGGCAAATGGATGTAGACATTGAGTATCAGCCAAGGAAGCACTGAAAGGACAGAGAGCCTTAACAGTAAGATCTATCATTACAATCCCTGGTAAGGGCCAAGTTGATCGTAGTAACCCAATTTAGGGTGGGAAGGTATTGGGAAGTCATCTGTAGCAGGAGTAGCCTAAGTCTGCACACACCAGATGAGGGTGGGGTATTAGGGAGGAAGAGAGGTTTGGGCGGGGGTGGAAGGAAAGGGGAGGGGGGTTACCACTGAGGGAGAATAAAGAGCAAGCACAAGGCTTTCACTTGTAGTTTCTCATTTGCTAATTAGATGGCTAAATACATTTTTATTCATATTGCATTAGGGTGTGAGATAAGTATAAGTATGGTGCTCTGAGACAGATTTTCTGCTAGATTGGGTGTAAAATATATATATATATATATATATATATATATATATACATATATATATATATATATATATATATATATATATATATATTTGGATTTTCCCATAATGTGCAATCAGATATGTTTTTTTAGTGCAGGTTAAAAGATAAGCAGTATGTAATGTCATCTTAAAAGACAGCCACTAAGAAGCAACAAAAAATAACGGTAAATGGCAAGACCTGAAACTAGCTTACTGACAGATTCAGGACACCGCTATCACATGGTAAATACAATGTATGTTGCATATTCCAATTTCATTAGACAGAATATTTTTGTTAACTGACCTGGTGGTGCATGATACACATACTCAGTTGTGTTGCCTTCAAAAACAATTGAAAAATGTTCACAAAGTGCAGTTGATACTGATACTATGAACCCAGGATGTAGATGACAATAAACAATTTTGTAGTTTTCTGTCAATATCTCCTAAGAAGAACACCAAATATACAACACTTTAATAGTTCAAAAATTGTATCTGTGGTAAAAAGTAACAATAAGATATGGTCTATATACACAGGGCTAACACCAACATCTCCTCCACCACCAAACCCATGTGGCCATGCTTAGCTCTGGTGAATGCCCATTCAGGTCAAGCAACTGCAGTAAGAGAGTCGGCTATCAAATATTTTTACTCTGAATTGACAGAGAGAATAAAGAGTAAATGGAATGACATGAGAATTTCTAATGGTTTATGTATAGCTCTCTTTGTCCCACGCTGCTGGGTGCTTTCTGTGTTAGTAGTTTGAATTTAATGCATTGGGCAATTGAGAGCCAGTGGAGGAAATGACAGAGGGGGGTGGCAGAAGAGGAGCGGTTGGTAAGGTGGATGAGTCTGGTCGCTGAGTTCAGGATAGACTGAAGCGGGGATAGTCTGCGATCAGGTAGGCCGGTGAGAAGGGAGTTGCAGTAGTCCAGACGTGAGATAATAAGGGAGTGAATGAGTTGTTTAGTAGTGTCTGGGGTTAGGAACGAACGTATTTTGGAGATGTTGCGGAGGTGGAGCCTGCATGAGTTTGCCAACGATTGGACATAGGATTGGAAGGACAGGTTTGAGTCTAGAGTGACACCTAGGACTTTGGCTTGTGGAGTGAGACTGATGGTGGAGTTGTTGGTCGTGATGGAGAGGGTGTGGAGGGGGGGCACGGGCTGGGGGGAAAATCAGGAGCTCGGTTTTGGAAAGGTTCAATTTAGGGAAATGGAGCAACATCCAATCTGATATGTTTTTCAGTAGGTGGGTGATACGGGCAGAGACTGAAGGGGTGAGGCGAGGGGTGGAGAGGTAAATTTGCGTGTCATCGGCGTAGAGGTGATAGTTGAAGCCGTGGGAGTGTATCAGTTTGCCAAGGGAGGAGGTGTAGATGGAGAAGAGAAGGGGCTTAAGTACCGAGCCTTGGGGGACCCCAAAAGAGAGGGGGAGAGAGGGGGAGGTGGTAGCGTTATAGGTAACGCTGAAGGAGCGTTGGGATACATAGGAGGAGAGCCAAGAGAGAGCAGAGTCTCTGATGCCAAGGGAGTGTAGTTTGTTAAGGAAGAGGGGGTGGTCAACTGGTCAAGGCCGTGGAAAGGTCAAGGAGTAAGAGGACTGAGTAGTGGCCATTAGCTTTGGAAAGATAACCAGCTTCTTCCCGGCACTTGGCCCCTGCAGCCAAGATGGCGCTGGCCCCCTGCAGAACGACCTGTCGCCCAGCAACAGCAGCAAGGGGAGACCACAGACCACCAGGTAGCATACCATCCGGACCCCAGGCTGAAAGGATCGCTGTACCCAGGGGATCTTGGTGAGTCCTCTCCCCCCCTGCCTCCCACATCCAGCAGCCTGGCAAATTCCAGGCCCAGACTGGACACAGAATCACCCCCTGACAGACAACAACCTTTTCTTTCAACTACTATCCTATCTGCTAATGCTTCATCTTTGATCGAATCCTATCCTGCTTCTGACTAACCTATCACGGAGAATATATGAAAAATCTCATCCCCACCTTCACTGACCTGGAATTGGCTATAGATCAAGCATATCGAATCCCCAAACCATCATTTCTACCTGTGACGGTCCCCAGAGATATATTGGCGTGCATACATTTTTACCACGTAAAGGAAAAAATAATGATTGCAGCAAGAAACTCGACCTCCATTCCACCAGCCAAAGCAAACATTAAATAGTTTGCAGACCTCTTCAAAGCCACACTCTCCAACTGTAAGAAGCTCATCAGCATAACCAAAGATGGAAGCAGATTGGTCATAACCTCCACTGAAGCATATTACCTTCATGCCCAATTCCCTGGGCACCACTCTCTAACACACAAGCTGGCAATCGGCCCCTGATCGAACATATTGATCTTCCAAGTTCGTCTCAAGCATGAGCTCTCGAAAGAGTCATGCTTTATCATGCCTCCACTCTACACAGTAGCAGATACTGCTACACATGCTACTTGCGTTGTTTGCCAGTCTTTTTTACCCCTGTTTTTACCCTTGTTCATACCCCAAGCTACCAGTCATCAGTAGCCAGAACTGTCCCTCTCAACAATCCTCTCCACACAAATTCAATCTACAAAAATAACAAACCCATGCTCATAAAGTCGCACACCTGGCGGTCCATCACCTCCACCATGCGGAAAACCACTTCTCTCCACAGCATCTGAATCACCACAGCTACGGAATTCAAACCATCTACAATCAACAAAATTATTACTATATCTTCGCTAAATGTCCAAGATCTCAACTCCCCTTCCAAAAGATCCCTGATCTTGAGAGAAGTCCGTTCCATTCAACCTGACATCATATTCCTACAGGAGACCCACTTCGCCTCATCCAAAATCTCTAAATTCAGTATTCCTCAGTTCTCCACAGTATATATAGCAAGAAATCCTAAAAAGAAAAACTGCGTCATTACAGCCATAAGAGACTCCCTGGAGTTCCAATTTATTTCTGCAACAGCGAACCCACAAGGTCGTTACCACATATTGATCTGCAAAATCAATAATACTACATATACATTAGTGAACGTCTATGGTCCTAACACCAATCAACTCCAATTCTTTAACAAACTTAACTCCACCATAAATCAACACAGAAAAGGCAGATTACTCATCGGCGGAGACTTTAACACTATCGGGAATCCTCTTCTTGACAAATCATCCAAAACAAGATAATCAAAACAATCCTTCAACCAATTTCTTCATTCCAATGATCTCTATGACATCTGGAGATGCCAACACAGTACAGAAAAGGACTATACCTAATATTTTCCATCCCACTCATCCTATTCTAGAATTGACATCTTCATCCCCGATAAATGGACTCTACAACACGTCACCTCCTCCAAGATTGGTATCATTACTTGGTCAGACCATGCACCGATCACAATCTCTCTTGACAGCAAACAACATTCGTCGATACCCCGTTTATGGCGATTGAACACAATCTTGCTGAAAAACCAAGACTACAAGCAACAAATAATAGATGCACACAGAACATTCTTTGAATTTAACGATACTCCTGATATATCCGTAACCACTCTGTGGTCAACTTATAAAGCATACATGAGAGAGGTATTCTGATACAACTAAACTCTCGCGTCAACAAAAACAGAACCCAACAAAAATACATAATCTCCTAACCTCAATCAAAACAAATGAGGAAAGAAACAAAAAATCCCAAGACCCAACAAACAGCAGATAGAGATAAATTAAGATCCCTTCTACTCCACAAATATGATCTAAATCTTCAAAAAATTAAAGCAAAATTCTATTCACTAGGTAACAAAGCCAGCTCTTTGCTAGCCAAATCGGTAAAACAAAAATGACTGAAATCCAAAATAGCCTCAATTAAACACCCATCTGTGAATACCTAAACACAAACCCGCAAGACATAGCAAACGCCTTTGCAGTATACTACCAAAATCTATACAACCTTAAAAATGGCCCTGACACCATTCAACCAACAATCACATCCATACAACAATTTCAATTTTCTCCAAACAACCAATCTCCCTCAACTATCCTCAGACCAACTTGACTCCATTCTACCCCAATATTACCCAAAGAAATAGAAACAACCATTAAAACACTCCCAATTAATAAATCACCAGGAAACGACGGATACACTAATGAATACTATAAACACCTTTCCACAGACTTTTCACCACACCTGACCAAACTCTTCAATCACGCTGCCACCACAGGCTCATTCCCCAAAGACATGTTGCAATCCATCATAATGACTATACCAAAACCAGGCAAAGACCCCCAACTCGTCCAAAACTACAGACCAAATTCGTTACTCAATACCGACATAAAACTATACGTGAAAATTATATCCCGAAGAATTCTCCCCTACCTCCCCACCCTAATTCACCCAGATCAAGTAGGTTTCATCCCAGGTCGCCAAGCACCCGATTCTATCAGAAGAATTATCTCCCTCCTACACAACTTAGCAAATGTTAAGAGCCCCTCCTTAATCCTAACTCTAGACGCAGAGAAAGCATTCGACCGTATACATTGGCAATTCATGCAACTCACACTTCAAAAATTCGGCATCACAGGTTGGATGATGAAAGCCATCTTGGCATTATATTCATATCCATCTGCTAGAGTTCTGACAGATGGCACATTATCTGACCCCTTTGACATCTCAAACGGTACAAGACAAGGCTGCCCACTCTCCCTGATAATATTTACACTCCTTATTGAACCCCTAGCTTCCAAACTCAGAGAGGACTGATCATTTACAGGAATCACACATCTTAACATGGAACACAAAATCAGCCTATCTGCGGACGATATAATATTAATGGTGACCAACCCAAAAAAATCCCTCCAAACGATTTGCTCACACCTATATGCCTACTCAACAGTCCCATATTACAAACTTAATGAACCCAAATCTTCCATACTTAACCTTCACATCTCAGCCTAACTCCAAACCCAACTAGCCAAACAATTCCCATTTTTATGGGAAACAAACAGCATTCCTTACTTAGGAATCAGACTCACACCAACGACAGACAACCATCTATACACAGCAAATCACAAATTATTGCTTGAAACTATCCCCCGAGAACTAAATACTTTACACACCTCAGAACTCTCCAAACTAGGTCAAGTGGCGACTCTAAAAATTTATATTTTACCCAAAATCTTATACATATTCCACACACTCCCCATGCCAATCCTAATTAATTCTTCTCTAACCTACAAACAATCCTCACAAAGTTCCTATGGAACTAAAAAAAAATGAGATGTACCACCAATCTTTTAATACGACCTACAACTAAAGGAGGAGTAGAACTCCCACACTTCAAGTCTTATTACACAGCTACTCTTTTT